ATTGTTCAATATACTTCCAAAAGATACAAATTCTGATAATAATTTCAACAATTAAGAAGTGCTATCAAATTGTTTAGAGAATGTTAGTCCTTCAATTGTAGCACTCCAATTCCGCGAAAGCCCTCCTGCAAAACAGAACATATGATTAGTAAACATTAGACCATACTCATCGGTCATATTTTCAAAGGGTCTTAAAATATATTAAAGACACAAATAAAGCAAAAGGTTTACTTGTGCTTTAATTTGATCACAAGATTAATGTTACAATCAAAATTAAGCAAAATTATGTATTTACCTTTCGAGAACATGGGGAAGCTCTGAATATGAACAAAATACCCTCCCAAGAAATAATCTAAATACTAGTTTGTACTTGCAACGTCTGCCGCACAGATTGCATATGGGTCGAATGAGACGATTGTTTGGAATAATATCAATCTTCAATCCAGAAGATTCAATTAGTTGTCCTGGCTTCATATAGGGATCCCTACCTATAATACAATGAATATGAAATGTGGTCGAGCATTCACCGCATGCATAATATCCTTTCGTTGGATAAATCATATTCTCACAAATTTGGCACCAATAGAGGCATATTGCATCATTTTCATAAGATAGGGTGAGGAAATGTTCATCATCCTCGTGTTTAACCTTGTATGGTAGAGTGGCACACCAAAAGCACAAAGCAAAACTACAAGTAACACAGTTTAAAAGTAGAGTGAATAGTTCTCCACACATGGGACAACGTTCCAGAAATATTCTGCCATATATTAGAAACAAAGGATGAGGATGACTCTGATGTTGGACTGGTTCAGATAGTGAGGCACACCTTACATCCAAACTTATGTTGCACCCTTCATAACAGTCATAGTTAAAACCGGACGAGAAACGAGAACAAGATGTACAAGTGAAATAACTTTTAGGATCACATGGTTGTAGAATAAGCGGGTGTACATGCACCATATTATATTGTATGCGGGGAAGATTTGCACAAGCTTCATGGAGCACAAAGTCACATTGCATACATCTGCAAGTATTACCATAATGTATAGGAAGTATGCACGCCTCACACTGCTTTTTTTCATAATACTCTTTGCTGCTATCTTCATCAAATCTCATTTTATGATGCGGATGACTATAATGTCGTATAATACCATCACCTATCTCCTCATACGGTTTTATATTATCGAATACGTTTTCTGGTTCGCCTTCCCGTTCTTTACCATCCCATATACCACCTAATGTGCCGCATGTAGAATGCATTGCATAATCACAACCCTTTGAGCAAGAGTATTTTCCATATATTCCGTCAATCTCCTGACGACAAACTCCGCACGACCATATTGTAGAAGAAACAGAAGAGTTAAAAAAGAGACGATGGTTGTGGCGAGATGTTTGTATGACTCGTGGTAAGATGACACAACTTTTGTGGACAACAAAATCGCATTGGTGACAGACGTAAAAGCAAATTTTGTTATCATCGGATCCGCAAAGATTGCAAGTAATTGAGGCTTTTCTAGGAAAATAGTGAAGGGTATGCTCATGTAGTTTTGGATTGCTTATTGAAAGGGGTTTTCGGTTTCTTGTGCAAACAGGATGAAAAAAAAGATCACAAATAGAGGAATAGTAAACTAAACCTTTATTTATGATCTTGGCACAAAAATGACAAACTTGGAGTTCCGTTGTCCTTAACGTCATACGACCGAGTTGGAGAAGCTGGAGAGGAAACTTGGGGTGATAAGAGGATATCAAGACAGCAGGAGACTCGACACACTCTTTGTGGTAACGGTTTTTACATCCGTTGCAATAATAATATGTCGTATCAATTGTATCTTGCTCACAAACCTCGCAGGTGAAGCCATTATATTGACCTTGTTTATTGTTGCACCAGATTAGAAGGTCAAGATGGTGGAAATATGAATCCGCCTTTACGTCATTTGTTGCATCACAGATGTAATAAGAATTTTCGATTGTGTAGTATTCTGTTCCATCAAGGTGTATACAGGATCCATGTAATCGTGTTCGTATCTTCGGGCAAAGGAGTTGATTAGGAGAAGAAAGACTAAGCGCCATATTAACTCCTTTAATTTGCTGCTACTTATTTGTAGAAGTTTTGTTGTTTTGAGAATTTTAGAGTTTATGCATATATAGTTCATATATATATATTTATGCTTATTCTTTCTTCTACATGTTATATACTTAACTTTTATGCAAAGGAGTTGATATGCTTATTCTTTCTTCTACATGTTATTGTACTTAACTTTTCATGTCGTCACATTTAGAAGAGGTGTCGTTAATTAGGCAATATCATATATTCTTGATTCTTTTCATATTATTTTCAGTCACTTCAGTTATTGGATTTCAAAGCACCAATATATAATCACCATTAATTAACTTTTTAAAATGTTTGTAGTAGGAACGTAAACAAACACACGTAAAACACAAGACATTTCTTGTTTTATATATAACATTTTGAAAACACACAAAAGAACGATTGTGAAGAAAGCCACGAACTGATCAGTAGATGTAGCCAGCTACAAGAGCAATGGTGGCTGCGGCCAAGCCGGTCAACATATCGAAGACAGCAATGGTACCAGCGTTTGGGGATTTAGTTGGTGCATGGTCCTCATGACCTTCATGATCGTCGTGACTCTCGTGTCCCTGAGCCGAGACCATAGCAATCATCAACGCCAACACTAGAGAAGCTACACTGATTTGAACAAAGATCTTCTTCATCATTTTTTGGTTTGACTTCTTTTTCAAAAACGCAGCGCTTCGATTTAGTTCGATGAATGTAAGAGAAGATTAGGATGTGTTTATGTTATGAGAATGAGATTGTTAAAAATGGGTTTATATAGAGGATTCAACAACCATATTGATGTGTGTGTTTTTATTTTATATGTTAAAACAATCTTATCTACAGTATTTGATGGTTGACTTTAACGACTAAGACTTGTGGAAGGCTCAAACAAGATATTGTTTTATTTGGAAGGGATGTGGTCATTTCGTAATATGATTCATAAACATATCAACTATATTTCAACTATGAAACTAAATATGGTATCTTAATTTTAATCTATGCGAAATCGTTATAGTGTTGAGAAACCGTTAACTTCATATAATTAATATGTGTAGTTTATGAAATTTTTTGTTTAGTTATGATATGTTTTAAGCCCCATTATATAACGTGTATATGAATCAAACATATGAAGACGTACAATGATACAATCATACAAACGACCCACACAAAAATCTCGTTGCCAACATTTTTGTATTATTATTATGAAATATGTCTTGCCATTATGATGACATTTAGTGTACAGAGATATATTCCATTGTGAAAACTATTTTAAACAAGTCAAATTTGGTTTTTACAAACTAATAAGGACGTGGATTCAAATTATTTTCTTTTGTACTTAGCGTTAAAGGCCGTACCACCGTGGTACACTAGTACGTAAGGACACTGTTCAGTTGACTTACATATATTTTTTTTTAAAAATGGATAAATTTAGAAAAATCAAAGTTGTTATTTAAAAAAAAAAATATATATATATAGTGGATAAAATTTAAGTACAAATAAAATTGAATATTTTCGTTGTAAACGAAAGAAGAGAACGTGGAGCCAAATTATTGTATATGACCGAAACAATTTTTTTATAAAATGTTTCTGTCCATATAGTCTATACTTTAAGTTAGGCGTTGACTTCAGAAATGTTTTTTTTATTTTTTTTTGAATAATCAAAGAGGTTTTGGACCGAAACATATACATCCCCTCGATTTATCTCTGCAATTCTTTTTTATTGGGGCTCAACTCCAATAAATCACATTAACCATATTTTCCTTATATTTTAGTTTGTTTATAATTTTAAAAATTTGCACACACGTTAACAAATCTCATTTAATGTACCTCTTTTATAGTAACTCTTTTATAGATTGCAAGTAAATCATCCATAATAACCTAAATATATGAAAATTCTTAGTTTTTTTTTTTTTAACACCCTTGCAAACTTATATTAACCTGAAATATCATTGTTTACAACATAAAGAATGGATACAGGGATCAAAACTTTATTATTAAAATAACCTGAAATATATGAAAATTCTTAGTTATTTTATTAAAACTTAACCAAAACTTTCAAAATCTAACCAATTTTTTTAGATTTTTTTTATACTCCGAATATCCAAAACTCGAACTAAATAATTCAACTTCGGCTGAAAATAAAAATTACTTAAAACGGATTATATATCTCTAAACCCTAATATTTGAAAATATAGTACCTGAATACTCATCCTTTTCAAGTGTTTCTAATACTAGTAGCAACAAATTTTGGCTGAGTTTTTGTCAGGATTCTGCATGAGAATAAATAACTCCAACATTGCCACTCAATTTGTTTTTATATATTGCCTTGACTCATTCATGATCTCGATTGTTAGGTTGCAATTACATTCAGATTTGCATCATTACTTTCGTACTCTCTCTTACTGAACCACATTAGAAACAAATTGGTTTGTATGATCACTCGGCGATGGAGAACAAGTTAAATAGGAGGCCTTGGCGTGATGAAGATTGTAATATTAGAAACAAATTATGTTGATATTAATTAACAAATTCACGTTTGGTTTTAACCAATTGATTCAAAACAAATTAATGGATTCGAAAATAGTTTGTTTCCAAATATATATGCATAAATCTCTTTTTTTCAAAACTTCAGGTTTAAAGGATTTACATATACCTAAAATACGATTATTTATAAGTTACATTAATTCACAAATCTATGTAAGATATTATGCCATTCTTACATATATCTTATATGTATGTTCAAACTTCGAAACAAAATACTGAAAGAAATCGTGTGCCAAGCCTAGCTTGCAATACAAATGTGTCTATTATATAATAATACTATAAACACAAACCAAGTTAACAAAACAAATTAAATATCATCTACGCCAATAAAAATGAAAAAAAATCTCGGTTTTTCTTATTGTTTTTAATCTTTGCATGTTTGGCCACCGGAATCAAGATAACGAATGAACTCAAATTTAAGAAGCTTCTTTGGATGAGGTGTTATTCCAAAGATGATGTCTTGGGTCCAAAAAATATGATCAATCGGACAACATTTTGAAGCTCATTTTGGTACAAATTTTTGGGCTACAACTTGTTTTATGTGTAATGAGACAAGGACCTAAAAGCAAGTCCAATGCAGGTATCATAGCTTGTTTCTTAAAAATAAAAAGTTAAAAATTAAATCATTAATCAATAATAAGCTAACATATCTCTCTTAGAGAAGAAGTTTTTTGATAATATGTTAAGTATACGTGTCACTACATGATAATTTCAGAAAAAAAAGAAAAAAAACATTTCCCAAACAATCATCTTTCTCTTCCGACCAAAGCAAAAATTAAAACTCTCCATCTCTCCATCTCTCTCTCTCTCTCGTTCTCTCAAGTAACAACCAAATTTCATCTCGTGTTTTGATTTGAGAGGAGAATCAAAAAGAAACTCTCTCTCGATCTCTCTCTCTCTCGATTTCTCGATCTCTCTCTCTCGATTTCTCGATCTCTCGATCTGTCTCTCGATCTCTGTCTGTCATCTGTTGATGAAGCGAAACCCAAGTCCCATGTGTAGATCCATGCTCAGAAAGCTCAGGACTGGCAGTATGATTTGCCAGTTTTGTGTCTTTCTAAAGGTAACTCTCCTTTTTTTATGATTATATCATGAATCGAGTTGATTGACTTGTTTTTGCTCTTGTTAATGAATGGGTTTTGTTCTTGACAAAGCAGCTTCTTCGCCTGGCCTTGACAAAGAAAGGTTTGATTTGGATTCTATATATATTGACAAAGGCGTACGGGATGAGGTATGTGTCCTTGGATTTGTTTGAATATCAACTTAACTGCTCGTGATTCAATTTCTAGTTATTGAAACCGTGTTTTTTTCCTGCAAGTCTTATGAGAAAAGATGGGTTCTATGTTTTTTTTTGTTACTGCGGTGGTCTTTAGCTTTGTTTCATTATAATGAAGGTGCTATAGATTCTAGACTCTTTTGTTGTTGAATCTGATTGTCGATGCTTCCTATTATTAGTCTTGTAACATTTCATTTTCTTTGTAGATAAATCAAAGTCTCGACGAGGTCTTCAACAAAAGAAGGAGTTAACTGCTCCAAACGAACCAAGGTATTATCGATTTAAGTATGTGGGTTCTCATATAGTTTGTACCTTTAGTTATGATTTGGATAGAAATGTTGATGTTTCTGATCTGATTCAGCTGAGGCTAGCTGGCTATGGAAGTTTTTGGACTTTAATTTCTGAGATCTGATGTGTTTTGGGATGTTTGATTCTAGTTATGATACAATTTAGCTCCAAATTGTTGTTTTTCTCCAGCTTTTGCTGAGTTCTCTGTACATGGAATGCAATTAGGAGATGAAGAGTTATTGATAAGGATACTTGTTCACATCACTAGTTTTAACAATTGTAGAAATTAAGACCGGTTTATATTTTATCTTTAAACCTGAAAAGTTTTTGGGATTTTATTAGTCGAGTATACACGTGGAACAGGCAAGCCAACAATCGTAGAAATTAAGACCGGTCAATATACACGTGGAACAGGCAAGCCAACAATCGTTTTAGAGGCTGTAGCTTCACAAGATCTCTGGATATGGCATGCGTTTTTTGGACCTCCAGGTATTTTAAACGATATCAATGTTCTTGAACGCTCTCCTGTTTTTGATGATATAATTCTAGGCCGAGCTCCAAATCTAAGTTACATTGTCAACAGACACGAGTATAATTTGGCTTACTATCTCACGGATGGAATTTATCCAAAATGGGCTACTTTTATACAATCAATTCCAATTCCACAAAGTCCAAAAGCCTCTTTATTTGCTACACATCAAGAAGGTATACGTAAAGATGTCGAGCGTGCTTTTGGAGTATTACAAGCTCGATTTGCCATAGTCAAAAACCCGGCTCTTATTTGGGACAAGGTAAAAGTTGGAAAAATAATGAGAGCGTGTATCATATTGCACAATATGATAGTAGAAGACGAACGAGATGGATACACTCAGTTTAATCCATCAGAATTCGCGCAGACAGAATCCAACAGAACTTCACAAGTGGACTTAACATATTCTACAGATATCCCTTCAAATCTCGGCAATGTGATGAGCAATCGAAGTAAAGTTCGTGATCGAACAATGCATCAACAATTGAAATCTGATTTGGTCGAGAATATTTGGCAAAAATTTGGTAACAATTAAAATATGATTTGTACTATGTGTTTTATTATGTTTTAATTATGTTTTAATATCATGTGTTTGTAATAATTTTCATGTTTTATAAAATTTAAGTTTTCATTTTTTTTTAAGAACTTCTATTAAGAGTTTTACCATTGGAGATGAATAATTTTAATTATCTTCAAAAGTTTCTTATTTTAAAAAAGTACACAATTTATGACTAAAAAATTACTAAAATTTTTTGCTAACATACCCCCATTGGAGGTGGTCTAAGGGCACTTCCAAAGGGAAGTTGTTAGTGAGGTTCATAGGTTTACTGTGGACAAAAAATAAATAAAAAATGAACAATTAGATAAAGAAAAAGCCTAAACTAAGGGGTTTTAGAAGTTGTGTTTAGGGATACTTCAAGACACATGGCAATTATTCATTGGTAAAAAAAAATATTCATTTCTTTCTCTCTCTATAATTCTTTCTCTCTCTAGCATTTTTATTTAATCAATCTTTATTAATGAAATATTGTTAAGCATTCTTTTAGAGGTTTAGTAATGGAGATGGTCTAACTATAGACATTATCAGAATTTTACGGTATTCAAGCTTTTCAGTTATTCGGATTTGGGAGGCTTATGGGATTGGAGAGCAAGAGAAGATGAAATCTATTTCCAGAAAAAAAAAAGTGGCCTACATGTTAAATTTCTTGTTAATATGTATAAAGTGTATGATTGGATAAATTGAAAACTTAAACAAACTATCTTAGAATTTAAAAGATTAAAGAAAATGTTGTATTTTGATTTTAAAACAAGAAAAATCCTATATGGGTAATAAAGTATCTTGTTCTCAAATATTATTATCATTAATCAACTAGTTAAATTAAAACAAAAATTGTCAATTGGTAATGAGACTAGCTAGGCTCACACTTTGCTTCAGAGGACTGTTTCGATCTCTTTAAACCCACTAATTGACAGTAATATATAGTGTTAGTTCTATACGTTATATATACCAAATTGCATCTCTGACAACTACTGATGTGGTACTTAGTTTCTATTTCATGTTCTTGACACACACTATTGCAACAACACAATTCTCTTTTTCATCTTTTTAATTTCATCACCAACTAACAAATTTAGTTTAGCAATAACAAAGAAGCAACCAGGCAACATTGAGCTAAACAGAAGGAATAATTAAAAGGGCTAATCTGTTACGTTTCTATGCGGATTATGGAACACACAAACTGATGAAAAAAAGAGTTCTCCAAGACTAAGAGGTTTCAATTTCAAACCATGAAGAGTCACATGCATGCTTTGACGCCATCATATATCTGCGTCACGTTTTGAGTTTTGAGACACGGACAAACTCGTTAAACACCGTATTATCAAACGTTTTCTTTAGAGATATCATGGAAACGTTTACAATACTTAATACGATTTCTAAGCTAAGCTAATTGTTGATGATTACAAGACTATTTCGATGACGCAAAATCAACCAAACCAAACATGAACATATATTTGAGGGAAACCCACAACATAAGAGTTTGGGGTTTATAAATAAGAGTTTGATCTTAAATTTTAACAATTAAACAAAGTTACATATCGATTTGGTTTATAAAAAAGTAGTTAGAGTATAGACTTATTATCAAACGAAATTATGTCGGTTTCAGATTTTATGTTCATTTTGCTCACTCTCAACCCATTCATCTGCCATATGGTCTAGAGTTTATATGTCCCAAAGGGAAGAATGGCAAGGATTTTAAAACTATGAAGCTCACAGCGCAGCTTGGCGCTTGGTATGGTAACGATTTCTGACTTGGGTTTGAGTTTACGAGTCCAGCTCATATCAATTTCCCGCATTTCACTCGGTTTGTTCTCGAGTATTCGGAAGTACCAAAATCCCCCTAGGATTTGAAAGACAAGGTGAGCAAGAAGGACTCTTATTTGGCGACCATTCATGACGGTTTTTTCCGTCTTCTTGAGTGTGATTTTCCCCAAGAGATGGAATGGCGGCTTGGAGAGGTGGTGTCTATGACTGATTGGCATGCTTCTCTCGACAAAGATTTCCCTAACGATGAGGAAGAGCTGCCACCACCACCACCAGAAACTGGAACTTGATTGGTTGCCTAAGAGAAGTGATAAAAACGTTCTATGCATTGCCTTCAGGCTCGTTGAGGTTACTTCTTGATTCTGAAGTCTTTGTGGTCAACTCAATCTAGAAGATTTTAATACATCATGCCCTATCTATATTCTCATATTATCTCCGAAGACAGGTTCTGAGAATTGTGATTCCGATTTACATTAATGGCTTAGTCTTGACAATGTGTCTGATACAGGAGCTGCGGATGATTTTTACAGTTCGGAGTGAAACCATCTTGGTTTAAAACGTCTAGTACCACTTTGGAAAAAATACCTCATATGATCCGTGGATAGGCTTCTTCATTCATCCTCTAAGGATCTTTGGAGTAGCATGATTCAGTTACCACCTTTAGGAGAACATGAAGTGTCAGAGATGCTGCTGAAGATACTAGAACCGTATCGGTATCCGTATCACCACAGGCTAACCTCTCTCTGTCAAGATACCTGTTGACGTGTTCTAGTTTGTTAGCTTCTCTAGTTTCTTTCATTCTAGGTTGCTTGCTGTACGATGAAAGAGCAAAACTGTATGCTGTAAGATTTGCTTAAAAGTATTAGAGAGCAGATTCTATGGAGATTACAGAAATTTCAGGAATAAGGAACTGAATAATGGCCTATATCCGAGGCAGATTCAGGCTAAAGATGATGATGAATCTCATTCAAGATGTTGATCCTTGCCTGCGAACAGCTCTTGCCGCCAAAGCTCGCAGGTTAGCTCTTGCTAGCGACAGATTAGAAACCGATGAAGAAGAAGTTTCAGCCGTCGTTACGCCAAACGCAGAAGCAAACTCCTGCCGCTGCAACCGCAAGGCTAATGCAGCATCCCTATCTTGGTCCAACCTCATACTACTTGCGTTTCTCCTCCTTCTCTCGCTCCTCTCGCTTCTCTCTTCGGATACAAGCAATCTCGAAATATCCTCTCTTTGCAACCTTTCTTGAAAGGATGCAGCTTCTCTGTTTCTGCTTCTTAGCCTTTGGTTATTGTTTCTAGGACTCGGCGTTTCTTTGCCTTTCAAGTTAGCAGAAGCAGCTCTCTGTGCTTCAACTTCTTTAGGGAACAGAAGCTGGATCGTGTTCCAAAGAACCGTATTAACCGTACAATATCTTCCATTTCTACACAGACATATAACATCATTAGATAAATCTCAAAATTTTCGATTAAAAACTCATCAAGTCTCATCCGTTTTACCCTATCAATTGCCTGCATTTAGGGCACTTCCTTCCACACTTATCCGCCGCAGATCGCAAACACTTTTTGCAGAAGCTATGGAGAACCAAAATTGAACATTTTCAGTACCAAATTCGCTATACAGAGATAATTTATGTGTTGTAGACTTGTAGTTAACCTACCTGTGTCCACAAGTTGTAGTACTGGGTTCAAAGCAAATCTCAAGACATATCTGCAAAAATAAAAAGAACTCAATTTCAAGTTCAAGAACCTTAAATGAATGTACTGGGGAAAACAGAATAGTTTCAGATTCATACCGCGCAAGACAATTCATCTCGAAGCTTATCTATGCAAGGAAGCACAACAGGAATTGAGTTCTGCTCTGAAAATATCTTCTCATCTTTATCTATTTTCTTCTCTTCTTGTTTTTCTGCTTCCATCTCTCTTTTCTTTTTCTTCTTCTCTGCAGATTTCTCTTCTACAAATGATACGATCAGAGGCTTATCAACAAACCACAACAGATTCAATAAAACTTTATCTCTGTCACTAATTTCATATATCCTAATGTTTCCAAAAAGCTAATTCTAAAAAAGTACCTTCATGTCTGATTACTTCATCAAGATCAATAACAGGTAAGGGGGCAAGATTCTGCTTAACTCTCTGCTTCCTGGGATCCAAAAAAAGATTCAAAATTTTACAAATATTCAATAAACCCATCTCCCAGAATTCTCAATTTCTCAAAATATAATGAACCCATCTCCCAGATTTCTCATTTAAAAAAAAAAAAAAAAAAAATTCAAACTTTGGTTTACCTTCTTGAAGAACCTGAAGGAGGGGTTGATTTAAACAACAAATTGGAACGTCTCCTTCGTTTAGACGTACTTCTTTCAGGAGTATCTTCAACCACGAAGCTAGCGATGATCAGATCTTCTTCGTCCCAACCCGCCAAAGCCGCCGCCGATTTGAATCTCGGACTGATGAAAATCTCTGCGTTTTCACCATTCTTCTCTCTCATGATCGATGCTTCCTTTGATCCATCTCCAGATCGGTGAGTAGTAACTCTCGATGGTGATTCATTCACCATTCTCTGGATCGAGGGTTTGAGATTTCAGAGAACGCTCCCGAGAAGAAGAAGAGGAGATACGAAAAAGAATTGGGAAAGAGAATATATTTCCCAACGGTCAGATTATCTTTTTTAAAAATCTTGATTTCTTCGCAACGGTAATTCTTATTGGGCCTTTAGTGGGCCTGTTGACATTTTTCGCAATTAACATTTTTAGACAAGATTTGATTTTCCTTATTTAGTATTTACTTTTTACTACACTACTCGACCAAAAGTTACAGCAGAAAAATCCGACACGTGTCCTCAATATTCCACTGTGGAAACCAAAAAAGGGGTTATATTTGGCTAATGGGCTTTATTAAACTGTTTTTTAATCTTTCGATCTATTCTATTATGGGCCGACGAGCCTGTTTTAAAGTTAACTTCGGCGTCATCCGTTTTATCCCAAATCAAACGCTGCGTTTTACTGTTTTTGAACATCTGAAACACCCGATCTCTTAACCCCGTATCATTCAACTCACAGAACCTCTCAGACCAATCGGGTGGTTCAACGGGTCTGGTTCCTAAACCGGGTGCCCGATCTCTCGACCCGACGTTCTCTTCGTTTTGCCAATCCGCCACGTAAGTCGCGACTCTCCGGTAAAACTTCTCCTTGAAAACCTCCCAGACCTGGTACTTGTAATGGTTAATTACCATTACATCCTTATCCACGTCAGCAAACGTGAATTCATCTCTGAGGTGAAAATGGTGAACGACGTTGATCAGCGTCGCGTTCATTGCTTCCGGCCGGATTATACTCTTGTGTCTCTCCGGTAAAATTACACGGCAAGTGTATCCCGCAGTGACTCCATCTCGTGGCTGAGATCTCAATCCCGACGGTCCGAAACTGTGGCACGGCGTTCGAATTTCGCCGATTGAGTCGGAGGTTGTGTAATTTTTGATGACGGAAGTTAGGGTTTCACCGGAAGGGATGTAGTAGAACTCGTCGACGTCGATAAACGCAACCCAATCGCAATCGCTCTTTGCACGAATCGCGCAATTAGAAAATCCTGCTTCTTGAGTTTTGATCCATGGCCAGAAATGTCTCGAGATGTTGTAACCGCGGCTTTCGAGATTCTCGATCTCGGCGATGATATCGTCGTCGCTGTTGTTGTCGTAGATGAACCACCGTTGAACGCCGATTCCGGCGTGGTACATCACCCACTCTCTCAAAACCGCGGCTGCGTTTCGCGTCATAGTACAAACGCACATCTGAAACGGCTTCTTCCTCAGCGGTTTAATAATCCGACCCGGTTGAGCAATCGAAGGAAGCATACCAGTTCCTCCTTTGATTCTAACCGAGACTTTTACAGGCCCATGAGCCGCTTTTGGGCCGTCCAATACAGCTAACGGTGTTCTACAACGTACGATCTCCTGCGCCGCGGAGATGACATCTGATCTTATTAACCGATTATGCTTCGTGAAATCCCAGCCGTACACGCACTCATATCTAGACACGTCAGCAACTCTTCCTGGCCGTAGATTAAGCCCCTTGACAAAAACCACCGTGGAGTTATCGTAGTCGATCACAGCGTCGTAAACAAGCCAATCCCACCGGTGAGTTGGCCCCGCCGGGAGATGCTCATCCGCCGTCCATCTCGAAATAGCGAGCGATACGGTGTGGCCACGAGGCGTCTCGGGACACCGCACGATCTGTCCTCCGAATTTGTCTTTATCCACAGCCGTCGGATAAGCTTTCCGTAGCTTCGACGCACCGGAGAAAACGCAAACGAGATCGTTTTTCGTAAATAACCGAAGGGACTGAGGGTATTTTAGGAAAACCAGTGTTTGCTCAGGTAATTTCACTGCTTCACGAATCGTAACTGCCGGAGAAGACGTTACAGAGTCGGCGAGAACTTCCCTCGCCGTTGAGAAGCTTATCGTCGAACGAACCACCGGACGAAACTTTCCTGTAAATTTGAACAGTTTCTCATAAACAAATCATTCGAATTTGAAAGGAAAAAAAAAAAAAACGTTACGAGTCAAAAAAAAAAAACTACCTTTAAAGATGAACATGGTGGAGAAGAGAACGAAGGAGAAGACAAACAGAATCACGAACCAGAAAAACATCCGCCACGAAACAACGACTTCTCCGCCGCAACCACCACCGAGTTTCCTACGAACTTTCATCCCTCACGCCGCCGAAATCGCCGGCGCTTGCCGTTGATTATATGAAGATGAAACTCTGACTTTATCTTTCTCCGGTAACAAAAATTCGACGTCTCCTCTGTTTCCTTTACCAGTCAAAGTTTCTGGTTTTGGTTGATGGCTTTAGAGTTTTGAATTTGTGTAATTCTTTATTTTTTTTTGTAAAGAAGCAAAAAAAGGTAAAAATAAGGAATTTTACTTTGTGTTTATTTATTTATTCCTAACCTATGAAAGAATAAAGAAAAGTCACGAACTCGGAGAAGGAGAAAAAAAAACGGCTCACTGAAACAAAACCATTGGTCTCCTCCTCCTCCGATCATATTTATTTGCTTTTTTAAGTAAAACGAATTTTTATTACTCTCTCTCACGGTTTTTTTTCTTTTTTTTTATAAAATCAAATTCTACTTCACTCAGAAAGTCAGAATTTGACGTTTAATAGTAATTAATTTACCCTAATGTAAATTAATTGTTTTTAAAAAAATCAGGTGATAAAAAAGATTCGGATACGTTGCGTGTTATTTATCATGTCGTAATTTCTTTTACAGCTTTTATGAATTTGTAAGCCAACTTTAAATTATTTTTGTACGTTTGAGGTGTGATTTTGCTTTGCCTTTGACTAAAGTTGTAAACAAGTACTACTTATGGCCGCAGAAGTGGGACATAGTTTTCTCCTTACGGCGACTTTTTAATTTCTATAACTAAACCCAATGGGCTTTTTGAGTTAGGCCCAATAAAGAGGACGTTTAGAAGGTAGATTGAAGCTCTAGAATCGTCTTCTCCGGCAACGTCGCCGGGAAAAGAAATGTTGGCGATTACGAGAGTGATAACTCGGCGACTTCATGGAACAAGCGATGTTACTGTTTTTCCAAAACTCTCAGGATTCTCTATTGTATCTCCCAAACATGTAAGCTTGGCTTGTTTCTTCTTATGTATCTATGGCGATCAGGAATTTTTGGGATTTCAATTCTAAGTTTCTCTGTTTTTTTTTTGGCAAAGTTAACTCTTTTATAGGTACCCATGTATTCAATCTTTGTTTTTTAGGATCTGATTTGTTGAATACCCGTTTTTGAAGGTTGAGGTAGAGTATACTGATGGAACCAAGTTCAAGTTTTCATCAGAGTTTTTGAGGATTCATAGTCCAGCTGCTGATGGAAAAGTCAGATCAATCGGTGGTGAAAAGGTAAATTTTGCCCAAAGGATTATCACGTTTTTAAAGATGGTTCTAGCCACATAACTATAGACTTTTGATATCTTTCTTATCTTAGCTCATCTTTTAGACAAATCTAATACCAATAATTTGATAGCTACCTATGAGAGACTACATTAGGCATTGGATGCTGCTTTTTTTGTTCATTTTGGCTTATTGTTTTTGGTCCAGCTAAAAAAAAACTTATGGCCACTAGCTTGTTGTTCTTACTCCAAACTTATACTTGGTTCTAGATGGATTCTGGTTCTGGTTAGAAGAAAGTCTAGTTTGGCGGCTCTTTGGCTTTTGCGTATCCCCTGTGGCCATAAGTTTGACAACTAGTTCGTTACACTTGGAACTTAAGACAAGATTTATGTAGATGAGGCTATTGTTTAACTAATACGTGGTGATGTTGTTTTTCTCCCTTATGACTACTAGCTTGCTGTTCTAGTGGCTGAGCATTTGTAGAACTTTGGCGGGTGTTAACAAAGATGCAATCTTTAAGTGATATAGTTAAATTGGATGGAGGCATGGTGTAGTAATGAGTTGTGATGTTGTTTCTTTGCGACTTTGTGTTTGGCTACTACTTTTCTTCTTACTAGCTAGCTTCTGTAAGGATTTTGTTGAAAATGAAATCTATTAAGTATCTTAGCTATGAGTCCTGCTATTGTTCTTTTTCCCCATGGTTACTAGTCCATTGATTGCATGACTAAATCAACATGTAGATTCTAGACTGTTTGGCAAGAAGTTGCATTCTTTTAAGTTTTACTCTGTACTCTTTGGCCTAACTTATATGTTTACTCAATCAGGTGATATCTGGAAGGCGGTATGTAGGAATTATGTCTGCGGAACCAGTTGGAAACTACGGGGTAAGGTACTTTCAAATCCCGCAAGGTCATATCATAAGGATACTCGTAACGTGTGTTTTTTGTTTTGCTTATAACTGAATGCGATTTGGGACTAAATCTTTTTGTGGGTTGTCAGGTTAGTGTTTGATGACTTGCATAGAACAGGGATATATCCATGGGATTATTTCCACGAGCTTGGGAGCAATAAGTTTGGTCTTATGAGAAGCTATATCAAGACTCTTCAAAAGCATAATCTAAGCCGTGAACCTCCTCCTTCGAGAAAGAGATAATTCTGACGATCAAAGTGTTTTGATAGATTCTTCTTTTGAAGAAAACAGAGAATCTTCTTGTCTTGTCTCAAAGTTACGGTTGTTGCTTTTTGGTTGTTGGTATTAGTGCTGAATGAACTAGAAGTTGTCTTTAGAGAACAGAATACAATTAATCAAACGTTACATTTGTAAAGAAAAGATTATAACCAGTATAATCATTATTCGTAAACTCATGCAAAACCCTTGTAATTTGTGATCAAAATAATGTTTTGGTTCTACAACTTTCATTTTTATTTTATTTTGTTCAACCAAAAAACTAGTCCTGGGCAATCGGGTATCCAATCGGGTTTCGATTCTACCCATTTGGGTTTCGGGTATATCGGTATAAGACTTATAGATCCCATTCGGTAATTTACAAAAAAATCGGTTCGGTATGGTTAGTAACTGACCGGGTTCGGAGCGGTTTTCTATTTCAATACAAAATCCGAATTAACCCGAAATTTTTCCGGGTTATAATCGGTTCGGTTTATTTGAGTAAAAAAGTACTCAAATAACCGATTAAAACCCAAGATACCCGATTAAATAACTAGAAATAACCGAATAAACTATAAATTTAAACCATAACATTAAGTTTCAACATAACACAACCGAATACCATAACGGTAAGTTTAATAATCTCACAACCAACTTTAAGAAAAAAGATAGAACAAGTTCAAATAGCCTATGACAATTGGGAACAATGTCGTCTAAAGCTTAGTGGGTCAAGGCCTTTTTAGGCCTTTAGGTTTAAACGGGTATAAAACGGTAGCCCATTTAACTTAAGTTACAAATCGAACCCGGACCGAAATCCATTTTACCAAGCCTTGTGAGCCCATTCGGTATTTTTGCTTAACCCGAACCCTACCCGATACCGCTTTTATCGGTTTGGTACCGGGTACGGTTCTTCGGTACCGGATATTATGCCCAGGCCTACAAAAAACAAAGGCGAAATTCTTCAAAATACCATACTTTCATTTTTTTTTTCTTCTTCTAAAATTACCAAAGTATAGTTATTTTTTTTTGTAGTGTTTAGAGATTATAATTCAAAGAATGTAAATTATATTTTTTGGAGCAATAACCAATGTATAAAGTTCATGAAAATAACAAATGCAGTCTATTGAGTTTTCGTATCACACATATCACATGATGTGTTCTTGCACGTGCGAGACATTCGGACCGTAAAAGCCACACTCACTCACTAGGCGTGGTTACAAAACCACGAATATTCTGCAAAAACGACTAATAAACTAAAAAATCAAATAACAATAATGAACCTTTTTTTAATCTTGAAGTCTCCTAAGATATTAAGTTATTTTATTAATGTAAAACAAATATCTTAGTAAGTTTTTTAATATGAATAGTGTATATCAGACGGTAATGTAATATATAATATTTTGCATCTTTGATTTTTCAAAATGTTTCATTGTCATCAAAATCGTTTTCGTATACTATAAATTTTTGAGCTATCAGACATATTCTACACACATAATCTTAAGTTAATAGAACATATTTTACATATAATTTATATATTTCTTTGTCAACGCCATCATTAATTAATGTGGTTATGTTATCGTTTTTTTTTTAATTATGTTTATCATTTGATATTATAAGTAGGAGGAAATTGGAAGAAATAGTGTAGCTTTCTGTGATGGTTGAATTGTAATGTATGGTGGTACCAAGAGACAGATTACTTAACAATTCTAAATATGTTTTTTTTTTGTGTGTGTTACAAAATACTCTAGTAATCGGTTATACACACCAACGTTGATACCTCATACTTCATCTACTTAAACCCACCCAACTCACCTATCAAAAAATAAATTTAATTGAAAAATAATTACAGTTTTAATTGCTTCTTCTACGTATGCATAGATTTTTTTTGGAATTAATTTCATAATCATAATAATATTTTTACAGCATTTCGAAAGAAAAAAAATTATGTGTTACTTTGATTACAGTCTCTTAAATCTTTAATTTAATTAGCTGTATATTTAACTTCTTCAATACAATATGAGATTACTATTCCCTAAAACAAGGTTAAATATATAATTGTTGTACTACTTCATCTTTCCTCGATGAGCTACAAAATCGTTAAAAATTTAAAATCTTCTTGGAAACAACCATTTTGAATCTCTTTATCCAAAGCGTTTTTTAATATCCAATATCAAAAAACTAAATAAATAAAACCCTATAAAATTGTCCTAAATTTCCATTTGACTGATACAAAAATTTAGTAAACGTTTCAATGTCAATTTGATGCAGGTAACTAAATTATTTTCAAACAATTTCGTGATTAGAGTTATTGAACAAAAAAAAATGATGATGTAATAAAATCTATTTTACTTTTCTAATAAAAATAAATCGGCTGACGAGAATAATAAATCTGTAAAGGTATAAATTGTCTTAATGACATTATCTTAATAAACATGTCCTCACTACAAAGTAGTACAAGACATTCAATAAATCATAAGTAACGTTTTCATTTTTAAATTCTAGATTTTTAAATTCTTCCCTAATTTCTCCAAAAAAAGGTAATGTTATCCCTTTAATTATTCTTTTAAAATTAAATAAACTTCCAAAAATAGCTTACACTAAACGTTTCATAAATTAAAAAAAAAAAATTAATAATCTCTTTAACAAAAAAAAAAAAGAAAAAAAAAACTCAAAAATCGGTTCCGAAGACCAAGTTTCCAGAATTTCTCTGTTTTTTTTTTTTAATTTTCTTTTCCTTTCGCTTCAATTCTCAACCACTTCAAATTCATTTCTCTTCTTTTCCGCAGTTTTTTTGTTTTTTAATATAATTTCTCATTCTCATCCTCAAATATTATTATCAAATGTTATAATAACACAAAAACGTTGTGTGTTTGATTTTATCTTCTTCTTCAACATCTCCTAGTTCAAGGGACCCAGATCTAAATATATTCTTCAGGAGCTTTCCCCACCACATAACTCATACATTCATGTGTCTCTTCTTTAACCTTCTTCTTCTTCTTTGAGAGACCAAATAAAAAAATCTCAGTTCCTTTCAAAACGACGACACAAACTATTTTCTCTTTTTTTTTTTTTTTTTTGAATTTCTTGAGACGTTAGGTTGACGAGAATAAACACTCTCCAGAGAAAAATATATATTCTCAGAGCTGAGTTAGAGAGAGAGAGAGAGAGAAATTAAAGCTTTTTCTTTTTTTTTTGGTTCCTTTTATTTTCTGGGTTTGATTTTGAGGTTTGAGAAATGGGTGAATCTGCAGTTCTGGTTCATTCTTATTCTTTTGCAGCTCCTATTACCCGTAACGATTCTCATGAGGTTCGTTTTTTTTTATTGTTCTTACAATTCATTGATTCCTTCATTAGAGAAAAAGTTTCCGGGAAAATTTTTGTTTTTTGTGAATTCTCCGGGAAAATTTGATGGAAACTGGGCTGTTTATACGTTTTTGATGAATACCCACTAAGAAAAATTTGACCTTTTTTGATATTTCGTTTTTGGAAATCTTTCTCTTAATAAATGAAATTTTCTCAGATTTTCCATGAAAATTGAATAGAAAGTTCGCTTTTTTTTTTTTGTTTGGGTTTCTTATAGATACAGTGAACTAACGATTGATGCAAAAGGAAACGCTTTTGGTTTGTTAAATTTGAAAGTTTGTAAATTTTGGATTAAGCTTTTCTCTGATTTGTTGTTGCTTGTTGTGTGTATTGGATTGTTTGCAGGACAATACGATTCATGCGTTAAGCCAATCGATATCATTTGGGAAATTTATGACAGAGAATCTTGAATGGGGGAAATGGTCAAGCTTTTCTCATAAGAAGTATGTTGAAGAAGCTGAGAAATACTCTCGTCCTGGATCCGTTGCACAGAAGAAAGCTTTCTTTGAAGCTCATTACAAGAGAATAGCCGAAGCCAAGAAAGCTGCAACGGAAGAGCAGCCTACCGTTACTCCTGCTGAGGTTTTGCTTCATACTTTGGAAACTCAGCCTCCTCCTCCTCCTCCTCCTGTGTATAAGTATCAGCAAGAAGATGTTAATGATGATGATGATGATGATGAAGGAAGCGTCAGAAACAGTTTTCAGATTGGTGGTCTTGTTGTTGTTTCGGATAACAAGCCCGTTGTTGCGGATGATGTGACTGATGGATTGGAAAATGGTATGGTTGGTGGTGGTGGTGATGATGATGATAAGGAGGTGAAGAAGCAAGAGGAAGAGTTGTTGAAGGAGGATTGGTCTTTTGGTGAAAAGGAGAAACAGAGGAAATCGATAACTAAGAACAGACCAGTGTTTAGATTGTCTCTGGAGAAAACTATTCCTCACAAATCTCTAGATGAGATCTCTTTAACAGAGAAAAGAAGGTATTAGTTTGTGATTTCACAAAGTTTGTGTGGAGGTAACAGTCTTTGTTTTTCTGATTGGTTTTATTGTAACACAAAATGCAGCGAAAGACCGATAGCTCAGATCGAAGAAAAACCAGTTCCTCGCCAAAGATTCAGTCTCTTTAGGTAAACCATACTCTTGTGTGTTTTGTTTCTTCCTTGCATTAGATTGATTTGTTTATCCTGGTTTTGATTATATGTTGTTTCTTTGTTATAACCAACAGCTGTTTTAAGGGCAATTCTAAAACTCAAGATCAGAATCAAAGCAGTAAAAAGGTAAAGGCTATTTTGTTTGTCTATTCAAATCTCATGTGAAACATCAAAAGAATATGTTTCTCATTTCACGGTTGCTTTCTTTTCGCGCAGAGAGAGACGACTAAGAAGAAGAAGCAGTTTCTTTGTTGTTTGAAGCCAAAGACTGTAAGAGAATAATCATCATAGAGACCCAAAGAAGCTTAAAGAATACAACTTTGAAAACGTGTACACAGTCTGCAAGAAGGGCTAATGGGAGAATAAAAAGATCGAGTTCGAGTTTCGATCAAGCTTGTAGTGATAAAACCGCAACAACTTCGTTAAGTAGATGGCACCGATTATGTTCTTTTCTCACCAGTTTGGAAAAGAGTCCCGAGTGCAATAGGAAAAGCAAAAACTGGAAATAGCTTCGTTTTGTTTTGTTCTCTTTAAATCTTTGTTATCTGTCTTTACTATGTAATGAAAGAGCACCATACTCCAGTTTCTTGATTTGATCTCATCTTAATCTTGAATTGGATTGTTGTTGATGATAAAGCTATCAACTTTACATAAAGGATAATGTAAAATAAACAAATTAACAAACATTCACAAAAGAAAAAATGAAAAAGCTGATCCACGTGAGGGAGACATCATTAGTTGTTTCTTTTCAGACCAAGCACCAACCATCTGAATCTTCTTCATCGTCATCTAACACATGTTCCATCATCATCATCCCCACATCATAAAAACTCATACTTTCATCATAATCATGAGACCCACCACCATCTTCTTTCTCGCTTTTATCTCCACTACTACTCTCTATCTTCATCGTTTCAACTCCAGCTTCTTCATCTCCTTGTACTACATTGTCTTTACAATTGTCAAGATCCAAGAAACCAGGGAGATTCAAAACAGGTTCAGATCCGGAGCTAGTCTTGACCCTCCACGTCAACAGTTTGTAGCTTGACGAAGCAATGTCGTTTGATCTCACCCAATGGACCTGGCCAGGCAACACTTTCCGGTGAGCTTTGGTCGGTTTTGAAGGCGATTTGGTAAATAACTCAGAGGTTTGAGGTGAAGTCAAAGAGTTGACCGGTCTTGTGTGAAGCGGTGGTGGAAGAATCCGATAACTTCTGACTAGACCATGTTGCCGACCTTGTCGTCTCATCTCTCATTAATGGAGTCAATTCAAAGAGAGAAAAAGTTCTTTTTGGAATTGGAAGTTAGCTTGAATGATATATAAGCCAAGAAGAGCTTTATTAATGGAGTCAAAACGCATCCAACAAAACAAGAGTAGTTTGTGGATCAAGTCAATGAGTTGTTGTTATAGATAACGTGCAGATAATTAAATAATTCAAGATCTCTTGCAATTGACAAGAAGAAAGAAAAAGCAGAACATGACTTCTTGGATTTGAGGTTCTGACATTATTACTTTGTATTTGTCCCACATCGTTGGCTAGATAACATAGATCATATTCTCTTCAAGTATATAAAGAGAGGTCGAGCCCAACAACAATTTCATACCTTTCTCGGCCTTTTGGCTAAGATCAAGTGTAGTATCTGTTCTTATCAGTTTAATATCTGATATGTGGACCATCGGTTCACACGATATTAACTCTATTTTTTAAGGGGAAGAGTCCATTAAGGTAGCTTGCTATCTGGATTCTTGCGAGTCGCCCATGCGTTGCACTATAGCATAGGCCTGGCTCACCTCATCAAACCATTAGTCTAACATCTTCCAAGTTTAGTTACTCATCAAAGGACCGAATAAAAATATTAGTCTTTTGGTTTTGTGTGTCGTGAGTACTCCAAATGCAACCAATCTGGGACATGTGCGACTGTGAAGTGCTCTGCAACCATCTTTGCCACTATTTGGGCCTCTGAGCCCTCTGTCCTGCCAATTTGAGCTGGGGCTGGACTGTGTAAATTGAAATTTTAAACGCACCTCAAATCCCACATCGATGAGTTGGATAATACCACATCTGTATATATTAGTTGTAAAAATGACAAAGATCTAAACGTCATTGAAGAGGTGAATGGGTCATCACGGCTTGTCGAAGTTCCGACCCAGGAAAGTCCCCGGGCCACTTGTGCGCAGAGATGCGTTCTTGGTAACGAGAGAATCATGCGGTGGAGAGATTTAAAGCTGAGACACGTGTGTGGAGCTTTCTCTACCGGATGATATCATGGCCGTTCGTATTACGACAGTTATTCACCTGGTCCTTTGTCCGGACTAACTGAACGGGGCTTACGTTTCGATGACAAACAACTTTTTTCCTCTTTTTGGATATAGTAGTAAACATTAAAGAGTAAGCTTCAAAGTGTAAAGTCAATATTGAAGAACCATTACACAAATTGGCAATTTCATGACTTAGTTGAAACATAATAAACTATGAAGAAACAGAGACGTTTCAAAGTCCATGAGGAGAACCATTCTCCAAAATGTAAACTTCAGAATCAAATCACTCATGAGAACGCTTGGTTTATATGCAATTTTCAAATCAGATTAAAGTTACCAAGTTGAATAGAAAACTAGAATAAATTTTCATTTAGGAATTTCATCGAACATCTGGACGACACTTCTAAACAGAAAAAAAACTACAAACAGAGGAAACAAAAAAAGAGTGAATCTAAACTAATCTTCTTCTTCGTCTTCCTTATCTTAAGCTCTCTCACCCCTAATCCTCCTTGCAAGTTGAATATCCTTAGGCATAATCGTAACCCTTTTAGCATGAATCGCACAAAGGTTAGTATCCTCAAACAAACCAACCAAGTAAGCTTCAGCTGCTTCTTGGAGAGCCGCGACAGCACTGCTCTGGAACCTCAGATCAGTCTTGAAATCTTGAGCAATCTCACGAACTAGTCTCTGGAACGGAAGCTTACGGATCAAAAGCTCGGTGCTTTTTTGATATTTCCTGATTTCTCTCAACGCCACTGTTCCTGGACGGAATCTGTGTGGCTTCTTCACTCCTCCGGTGGCCGGAGCTGATTTTCTCGCAGCCTTCGTCGCGAGTTGCTTCCTTGGAGCTTTTCCTCCGGTTGATTTCCTCGCTGTCTGCTTGGTTCTAGCCATTTGCTAATTCTTGAAAATGAAAATTGAAGCTTTTGATAGTTTTGATTGCTGAGAGAGAGAGAGAGGCTGTGTTCGATTGATTCACAGAGATTGAGACTTTATATTCGAAGCAAGAGATGGATTGTTTTGTTCTTGTCCGTTAGATCTTCTGGCTTATCAATGGTTGAGATTGTTTGTACCCTCATGATCCGCGTCATTCATTATTTTATGCTTGAGGAAGAGATGAAAATGTTTTGTTCTTGTCCGTTAAATTGTTTAGTTATCAACGGTTAAGATTGTTTTGTATTTGCGATCCGTGTCGTATGTAAAACAACCAATCAGAATGATTCTTCTCAGCAACGAGGAATTGCACAGGTGGATCGTTTTTGATGACGTGTCGTAACGATGTGTAACGGTGTTGTGAATTTGAGAATTTCAAAGGCTCCGAGTGCTACGGAGGTGTTTTACTGTTTTATGTTATGACGTCGTTTCGGCAAGTAAATATTTATTGCTCTTTTTTTTTCTTTTTTTTTTGTCACCAAAATATTTGTTGCTCAAACAAAGCTTTTTCGTCCTCGAACTTTGTCGGTTTAACAAAGCACATAAGCTTCAGATATACATGAACATAGTGGTCAATGGAAGTTAAATAAAGGCTCAAATCCAGCAACATTGAACACAAACAGGGGGCTGTTTCTCTATATTGCAGTCACAGCAAGATGTTTCGCAATCGTTGTTGCAGCCTGCAGATGAAAAACAAAAACAATATGCATGTAAGAACTTGTTTGTTTCTTTCAATTACAAGAGCTTTCTCTTCAAGTTCCCTCTGACTTCTTTCTAGAACTTGCATTTAAAGCTATGGTACCTTCCACAGTAAAAAACTGAGACTCCTCATGTTCCTGAGAACTCGGAAAGAACTGAAACTGTTTGGTTGGTGGAGCAACATCAGTTGCTCTACCAAGAATGACCAAAGATAAAAAGAACAGAGCTAGTGTTGTCTGTGTCATCTTGCTTGATTGTGTTGCAGTTATACTTACGCAGCCAATCATATAAGTTGAGCAACCAAATTGATAAGCTATGTTAATATATCACGATGTGTTCATGTGTAAACATGGCACAGAGACAAGTACATGAAATGTTTTTATACAAAGCCAATGCACATGGGACACAAAAGAGTAGATGATAAGTAGATGAGGTTTAAGTTTCCTTGAGTTTTATTACTTAAAAGAGGAGATTTTTCAGCAAGATTACAACCACAAAGCTCATCTACTTGGGAAGACTTGCAAAAGAGTTCATTTCAAGATCTAATATTTGGCAACAACAATACAATAATGAATTGAAAATCCAAAGGTTTTGTGAAGGTTATTAGCTTCAAACGTTAAGGTGTGATGAGTTTCCCAACTGTGTACCGTACACAAACTTAGCTGATTCAACGCTGAAGTTGCTTGATGTGTGTGATCTGTTTGCCTGGGTTCAAACCCTTTGGACAAGCACGGGCGCAGTTCAAGATTGTATGGCAACGGTAAAGCTTGAACTCATCATCAATAGCTTCAAGTCTCTCCTTTGTGTACTCATCACGACTATCACTTATCCACCTGCATACATGTCAAACAAGTCTCTTGTTAACAAACACATCGAAAGATCAATACTTTATCTAATAACCTGGTCAGAAGCAATCAGCTTCCCAAACCAAAACATTCAAAATGTGATTTCACCTAAGACAGCAAAAAAGACTAGATTGAATCACATATGTGTAATCAATACAGCTACCAACAAGACATACAAACCTTCCCAACCATCCATGCAAATTCCGAATCAGATTCTAAGATTAAAAGTTGGAAACACCAAGACAGCAACACAGATTTGAATGAACCAACATAAGTGGAATCAATGCAGCTATAAACAACAAGATATACTAATTTCCCCAAAGCAGAGTCCAATATAGAAGCTTCCTAGTAACTACAATTTGCAACCAGTTCCCCCAATAAGAATCCAATTTCAACAACCCATTTCACACACAACCAAACAATTCTATCTTTTTATAGAGTTACCTATTAGCATGTAGCAAAGCAGCTGGACCAAGGTAAGACTCAGGGTTCCACCAGTAACTTGGACAAGATGTGCTGCAACAAGCACAGAGAATACACTCATACATCCCATCAAGCTTAGCTCTATCCTTCTTACTCTGCAAAATCTCCTTCCCAGGAACAGACGGAGGAGTCTTCCTCTTCAACCACGGCTCAATACTCTTATACTGATTATAAAAATTGGTCATATCCACAACCAAATCCTTAATCACAAACATATGAGGCAACGGTGTAATCGTCGTCTCCGATGCTCCATCTTGAATCTTCGTCAAACAAGCAAGCCCATTGCACCCATCAATGTTCATAGCACATGAACCACAGATCCCTTCACGGCACGATCTACGGAACGTTAGAGATGGATCCATCTCGTTTTTGATCTTAATCAAAGCATCTAAAACCATCGGACCACAATCCTTGAGATCGATCTGGTAATCTTGAAGCTCTGGCTTCCCAGGGTTATCTGGGTTCCATCGATAGATCTGAAACGTCTTCAATTTCGAATCTTTTCCGGCGCCGCCGCCGCCAGACGAAGCTTTTGTTTCCGCCTCCGCTCCTGTAGAGGTCCATCTCGCCGGCATTAACCTCGCCGCCGTGGTTAATCTCGACGGCTTCGTTCCTACCAGTCTTCCGATCAAACCAGACGCCATTTTTTTTCTTTTTCTCAGAGAAATCTGAAAATGGCTTAAAAATTAATTCAAAATATTTATATTTTTCAGAAGAAATTAATTTTTAATAACCCGAAATTAGCCAACATTGACGATTTAAAGAATAAAATATAAATATATATAGAGAGAAACAGGAGATTAGCTACGTGTGCATATTTGTAAATGTGAGGCTTAGCTTCATCTACGTAGAAGAGCCGTAGATCTTTAGAACAAGTAACGTTACAAATGATTTTGACCGTTCATTATGGATACCGACTTTAGTTAATCGTGGCGAACACACCACTAGATATTTTCAAAGGCGCGTGCTCGTCTCGAAAAGTGTAATACACGTGGCTTAATTTGATTGGATATCTGCGCCTAATGAAAAAGAGGAAAACGAGAAGAACTGCGTCCCGTTTCTAAAGACAGGAGGAGAACGTTGTGCAGTTTTGTAAATGAGGGAGCCAAAAATGAATGCTGTTGCAACAATGAAAACATAAGAAGAAGATGAAGATGACAAAATCGTTCTTATCATTGTTACTTACCTTGATAATACTAAAATTATGAACAGTTCATAAACAAAACAAAAAACATTTGAAAAATCTTTACAAGGAATGACAAGTTTATGGATCAGCAAAGAACCAAAGAGGCTTTTAAGTCCCAACATATCCACACCAACATGTCTCATGTTTAAACTATATCTACACTTCGTGTAACACCCTTTTGCGATTCTTGATCGGATCCATTGACACTTCCTTTTCTTCTGACCGATCTCTGACTAAATATCCGAGTAATTATATTAACCGAGGCTGGCGGTTCTGTTATAGACTCATCCTTAATCGAACCGTTGTCTTTCAAGTCCAAATCTTCTGATAGTTTCTTCACTAATGCCACAAAATGTCTACGAAATGTTGGATATCTTGATACTGTTTTTGTTAGCCCTTGAATCCTAATAAACACACAAAGACATGGAATCTTTTTGTTGAGAAAAAGAAACCAAATTGCTCGAAAAAGATCGAATCTTTTAAGTCGGTTTTTTACCTGCGTGCAAAGGCATCAAGCTCAGCTCTTTTACGCTCGGTGAGAGGAGGAGAAGTGGAAATGACATTCGAGCTCTTTAGCCTCTCTGGATCTCCAAATAGCAAAACTAATCTTCCGAGGTACTCTTCTTCTTCCTCGGACAAGTTTGTAGCTTTCAGTTGCTCCTTTAGTATCAAAAACGGATGCAGAAACCAATCAAAGAATGCATCTTTTGGTCGGTTCATGATAGTTATCTCAGTTACACCGTCACCTACACAAACATACAGACAAATTAAAATCTGCCCTTTGCTTGAATTTGTTGGTTTCTTGATATATGATTCAAGCAGGTATCATAATCTATATGAAAATATTAAAAGGAAAAGATTGAAAATTTACTTAGTAACAAGCCAGAAGAATTGGCTTTGACTGAGCGTAGAATCTCAAAAAGAAGTGAATAAGCGGGTAAACCAACACTGATCACTTGGCTGCCTTTACTAGATCTCGCTTCTTCGATATCTTTCGGAATTATCAGTCCTTTTGTCGCCAAAACTTCTCCAAATCTCCTACATTGCACAAAGAGCTCATCCAACAGCTGCATACATACATCTACGTCAAAACCGAAAAAAGATTTGATTTTTCATATTGAGTTTGGTGAATATATGTGTGTGCTTACGTCGAGAGGCTTAATATCAATCATAGGGACTCGGACTGATCCTACTCTCACAGATGACGCGTTCTTGACAGAGCCTAGTCTTGGTATAGGACCAGAAAAAGGTGTTGGTTCCTCTTCCTTTTTTCGATATTTCGGCCTTGGAAAACAAGATCCTTCAGGCATGTCAAGTATATCGGTGCTATACTCGTCATAAATGGACACAGAGGCAACTATGAAGCAGAGTCCATAGTAAAACGATGATTCCTGATATGAGACTACTCCCGCATAAGCACCTAGGAAGATACTAGAGACAACTGATCCAATAACTGCACCCGTGACAGCCAAAGGCCAAAGTAAGATCACGAGGCCTGCAATGGGAACGCACATTGTCTCCAAGAATGGACCTTCCCGTCCAATCAAGTCGTGAAACAAACGGTGCCATCCTTTGAACAGCATGTATGGGCTTTTGCATATGGCTACAAGTGAGATAACCGGGAAATCAACAAGAATCCCGAGAACTGAAACTACCAAAGCCCCTGGAAGTTGAAGTACCCTGAGAAAATAGATAGAAGATGTAAGGCGCTACCGAATGATCAGTTTCACAAGGGAGACCAAGAATGGGCATATTATAAATACCTTATTTCAAAATATTTGCGATCAGGGCAACACTGTCTAAGCTCATCCATGAGTGAGAAGTATGAGTGAAAGCAAACATCTTTAAAATCACAGACAACAGTGAAGCTGCGTTGGACGGTGCTCCAAGTTCCATCGTAAAAGCAATGGAAGAACGGGTAAGGCTTTCCCTCGCCAACAGCATCAAAGGTGGCGAAAATAGGGGAGAGAAAACCATATAAAGCTCCTCCCAAAACACTCCCCACAATACTAAGAATCAGCCAGAGAATTATGGCTGCAGGAAGACATAGGCATAGAAAGAGCTTCAAGATTGGTCCTACTTGTTTGGCACTGCATATTAGACAAACCAAAATTAGAACGTCTTTAGCGTCATTGAGAGGGATAGCAAAGGGACTGAGGATTTAAGTTACCTCACGATTGACCAGAAAGTCCAAACGATGTGAACTGGCAAAAGACTCAGTATGACAGCAGAGTTGCCTATAGTCACAATGAGGCATACGAGTGGGCACAAAATGATACCTAAGCAACAAAGAAAGAGTCTTTTGGATCAAAAAAACCACTCCAGAGTCCAGGCCATTACAATAGTAAATATGATTCAAAACAAGTCCAAGAACTTCATTGACAAGAAAACACTAGACAGTGTTGATGAACCTTTAACTACTACAAGATTCAAACATTATTGTAATTGAAAAAGCCATGGCATTAGAAAAACGACCAAGGAAAAGTCATTAGGGGAGAACAATTAAGGAACCAGCTACAAAGTCAACAACAATGTAAAGAAGTCAAATTCTTTGTTGAGTTAATGTTTCTACTTATCACCAGAAGAAGAAGAAAAAACCCTCACAATCATCTAAAGCTTAGACCTTTAAGTAGTGTGCTGTTCATTAAAGAGGAAGATTACCATATCAAAGTGCCAGAGATAGAAACAATGATATAAATTGAAGTAAAGATTCACCTTTGATGAAACCAAGAAACAGCAATCCAATGAAATAAGGAAGAAAGAGTAAGAATTGCAACAGAGAAGCTCGAAATCCCTCTGGAGGCTCCATTGAACTTGGAATTGAACCTTTCAAACTTGAAACTTTAACACAAACCCATCTCAAGAATCAGCCAACACCTTCTTCTTCCTGAGATATATATATATAAACCAAAAAAAAAAATCGAAACTTTTGGAATCGGTTAAACTCAAAAAAGAAGTAAACAAAGAGCTGGAGTTTATTCTTATTTACGAAGCTCTCTGCAACAACACACAAGTCTCTTAAAACAATATACTATAAACAAACAAAATCAAATCTTTCCTCTGATACAGCTTTAAAAGTCTCACATGGGTTGATTCACAGATTTGAGTAGAGAGATTTGCGGTTAAGAAACCGTTTCTTATTCTTGATAAACACAAAACAAAAAAAAGGAAACTGAAAAAAACAAAGTTCACGAGAACCAAAAAGCAAAAAAACTGACCTTTTTTTTTGTCCTAAAAGTCTTTAAGGAAGAAGAAGAAGAACCAAAGAAAGAAGGATATTTATGTTTTTCTACTTATGTTCTGTTTTTGGTTTGGTGGTGGATGCTGCCTGAGCTTAAAGCATTTTAGCGAATACTTTAAACGTACAGATAGATAGAGAGGTCAAAACGAATGAGATCGAAAGAGACGCCATGATAATACCGAAATTTGCAGTTTAAAAATATTTATTATTATTGATCAGATAAATATGTATATATTATTGTTTGGATATAAAATAATGAATACGTAATAACACTGTAGTGACGGCTACCTTTTTTGTGTGGATTGGGAATTTTTGTTAATTAAAATAATAATTTTAATAGTTACGTAATTAGGTATTTAACAAACAAAATAAGATGTGAGTACAGTAAAATTATAATGATGACAATTATTATCATCATCAAACACTAATGGTGTCATTTACGGAAACAATGAACATGTTAATTTGATAAAACTTATTTTAGTGGTATTTACAAAAAAATTTTTTTGATTGTTTGTAATATCAACAAAAGATATATCGTATGTTCCTTCGTAATTTAGTGTAGAGTTGAGTATAGGAAAAATAGCGAAAATCAACCAGACTATTTGTTGACGGTATTTTCATATCCAAACTATGATATCTGGTAAATAGCAATTTAAACTCATAAAAAATTTAAATTCTTGATCTAAACTATATGAAATCAGCCAAAATGAACATATATCGAAACGGTGTTAGTTAAACATTTATCGGCGATGAATCAGCCGACATCCTGACAATGAAGGAATATCAGAGTTGAGTAATATAATGTCGTTTCGTGAGTTTAGAGTTCTCGTTACTAACATCGTTTTGATATATGTTGATTTTGGCTGATTTCATATAGTTTAAGTTGGGAATTTGAATTTTTTGTGAGTTTAAATTGATATTTGCCGAATATCAAAATTTAGATATAAAAATACTTGCAGAAAATAGTTTAGATTGATTTTAGCTATTTTTACCGGTTGAGTATATCTAAACCAGAAAAGAGCTGTTCCTTTTTTTTTACTTTTGAATACAACTGGCCGTTTCTTGTTAAAATATTTTGGTCTTTAATAATGATTGCACACTTGTTGATTCCGTTAGTGTTTGTGACATGAATAAAAAAAATATTGCCCCACAAATCACTTTTCATTACTCTAATAATATGTTATATCAATCAATATGACAGATTAAATTAGTTTAATAAAATACAAATGGCAGCAGCATTATTACAACT